ATGTGGCTGTGTGCTTCACCGAGATTGAGGGGCCAGTTTGGATCCTGCGCAGAGGGCCCTGTACACGGAGGTAGTGCTGGAGGGTTATGCAAATGTGGCTTCCTTGGGTAAGACGTCTCTTCCTCCTCTTGTCTGCCTCTGCCCTTTGAGCATCCTGGCCTCTTCCTTTCTTGGTCTCTAATGATCCTCAGGGGAAGTTCCTCTGGACGCTGAGCTCCCCAGAGGTTTCTGGGTGGAGAGAGCTCTGTGTGCCAGGGTTTGAAATCAGCTGTCTCTCCAGCCCCAGGAGGGGCCACACTACAAGCATGCAGGGAGATGAGGAGTCCTTGGGCGCCCAGCAGAGCCTCTGGTGCCTCAGTTTCCTTGTTTTCTGAAGAAGACTTGGGGCTCCCACGCAGGCTTTCTTTTGGTTCTTGGTTCCTGTTTGTGAGAAGTTTGTCCCTGACATCACTTTGACTCTCTCTGCTTGGCTCAACAGAGAAAGATAAAGATGGCCGATAGGGGACCTTGCTGTGTGATAGCCTCTACCTCCTTGCTCCTGTTCCTTTCACCCCATGCAGCTTTTCCTTTCTACAGTCCTGCTGTGGTCTCCCAGCTGTAGCAGGGGAGTTTCTTTTGGGCTCCAATCCCTGGGAACCTGAGGGCAGGGAGGCCCCCAGGGGTGTCCACGCAGGTGAGCATAAGGACCCTTCTGCTCCCTTTTTGCTTGCTGTTTCTTGTTTCCACATTTCAGCTTGGAAGAGGTATCTCTTCTGCTGGGAGACTGCCCTCGGTGCTGTGGAATCACCGCATGGGATGCTGTGACTCCTGGTGGCCGTCTGCCTCATGTGGGGAAGGGTCAGTCTCTTCCAAGGCAGGTACCTTCGTCTTTGCTTCTCCTTGTGAACTGTCGAGGGAAGTCGTCTGACTGAGCAGCTCCACTCTTCCCTGTCACATGGAGACAGCTGCCCCACGAAGGCAATGGGCTTCTGGCAGCCTCTCTGGCCATCTGCGTATTGTAGAGCTCGTTATTTCTCTGGGAAACTGAATCGTGAATTCTCACTGACTTAATAAAAAACTCATTTTTGTAATGGAAAATTTCAAACCTATGCAGACATCAACATCACGTAGCCCTTGGATCCATCCCTCACCTAATCTCAATAGTCACAATATCCTGCCATTCTTGTTTCAGCTTTGTTCCCTGGAAACTTAGATTTTCTTTTTAACACATGAACTTTTGAAGCTAAACCTAAAAAAGCAAATGGATTCTCCATTTTGAAAGTTAGAGATACAAGAGACAGTGTCGTTAGTTCTGATTTTCTTAATTCTGTTTCATCCCTTCTTTGCTCTTCAGGCTTATTCCAGAGGATTCCATTATTGTCCCACCTCCTTATCCCCCAGGAGCCTTGTTAATGTTATTCTCTTCCAGATATGACCCCAGGACGTCAGCCTATCAGGGGAGAAATGTTTCCTAAGCAATTTGCTTAGCTTTGCTTGTGAACACATGAGCTTTTTCACTGCCTCATTGCCGAAGGTTATGTAAGTCTGCAAAGGCCTTGGTAGCAGAGGGAGAATACTCTTTGGTTTTCCTCTTTGGCATCTTAGTTAAGGATTTGATATTCTCCCTCCTTCCCTCTCTCCTTTCCCTCTTAATTCTCTCTCTCATATTCACTAACGATTCACCGACAGGCAGAGTGGACAGTGAGAGAGAGAGACAGAGAGAGAAAGGTCTTCCTTTTGCCGTTGGTTCACCCTCCAATGGCCGCCGCTGCAGCCGGCGCACCGCGCTGATCCTGGCAGGAGCCAGGAGCCAGGTGCTTTTCCTGGTCTCCCATGGGGTGCAGGGCCCAAGCACCTGGGCCATCCTCCACTGCACTCCCTGGCCATAGCAGAGAGCTGGCCTGGAAGAGGGGCAACCGGGACAGAATCCGGCGCCCCAACCGGGACTAGAACCCGGTGTGCCGGCGCCGCAAGGTGGAGGATTAGCCTATTGAGCCACGGCGCCGGCTTCCTTCCCTTCTTTTTGAGAGACAGTGAGACTGACAGAGAGAGCCCTCCTGTTTGCTGGTTCACTCCCCAAATGCTTGCAATGCTGAAGGTTGAGCAGGGGCTGGAGCCAGGAGCCAGAAATGTAATCCAGTTCTTCCATGTTGGAGCAAGACCCAATTACTTGAGGCCTCACTGCTGCCTCCTAGTGGCTGCATTGGTAGGAAGCTGCAATCAGGAGCTAGAACTGGGACTCAAATTCAGGCCCTCTAATGTGGGATGTGGGCGTCTTAACCACCATGCTAAATCCCCTTCTTTCTGCACACTGTATTTTTGTTATACATGTTTTTTTTTTTAACTTATTTAATGAATATAAAATTCCAAAGTATGGCTTATGGATTACAATGGCTTCCCCCCCATAACGTCCCTCCCACCCGCAACCCTCCCCTTTCCCACTCCCTCTCCCCTTCCATTCACATCAAGATTCATTTTCGATTCTCTTTATATGCATGGTTTTTTGAGACTCAGTAGTATAGCAACCTGCAATTTTTCTTGAGCCAACTTGATGATAGAGATCAGTTCTTTTTTCAAAAACTATGACATGGATAATGTTTGCTTTGTTTAATTTTCACTTCATTGGAAAGGCACACACACACACACACACAATCTCACATCTGCAGGTTTACCACCTAAGTGCCTATAATAACCAGGGTTGGCCAGGCCAGAGCCAGGAGGTAGGCACTCAGTCTGGTTCTCCCACATGGGTGGCAGGGATCCAAGTACTTGAGTCATCACTTGCTGCCTCCCAGGGTGCACATGAGCAGGGAGCTGGATTGTGAGTGGAGGAGCCAGGACTTGAACCAGGCACTCAGATGAAGCAGGCAATCCAAACAGTGTTGTAACTGCTACACCAAATTTGAATGGGAAGGCAGTGGAAGATGGCCCAAGTGCTTGGGCCCCTGCACCTGCGTGGGAGACATGGAAGAAGCTCCTGGCTCCTGGCTTCAGCCTGGCCCAGCCCTGGTTGTTGAGAAATCTGATACTATTCTCATTTCCAATCTTTTGTTTTCTCTCTCTCTAGAAACTGTTTAGGATCTCTTCTTTAAACCCAGTGTTTGATCATTCACAGTGATGTTCTTAAATGTAGTCCCCCCTCCCCCACCCCCATCCACCTTGCTGGACGATCAGTATATCTTCCCCATTTGGAAACTTAACATTCCTTCTATGATTTTAATTCAGGGGACAGGGGGATGTTGGTTTTGTCTTTCTTTTTTTTTTTTTTTTTAAAGATTTATTTGTGGGGTCGGCTCGTTGCACAGAAGGTGAAGTCCGCCTGCGGTGCTGGCATCTCATATGGGCACCGGTTCTAGTCCCAGCTGCCCCTCTTCCAATCCAGCTCTCTGCTATGGCCTGGGAAAGCAGCAGAGGATGGCCCAAGGGCATAGGCCCTTGTACCCACATGAGAGACTGGGAAGAAGCTCCTGGCTCCTGGCTTCGGATCTGTGCGGCTCAGGCCATTGCAGCCATCTGGAGAGTGAACCAACGGAAGGAAGACCTTTCTCTCTGTCCCTCCCTCTCACCATCTGTAACTCTACCTCTCAAATAAATAAATAAATTAAAGATTTATTTGTTTGAAAGGCAGAGTTACAGAGAGAGAGACAGAGATCTTGCATCCCCTGGGCCATGCTGAAGTCAGGAACAGAAACTTCCTCAGGGTCTCCCACATGGGTGCAGGGGCGTCTTCTGCTGCTTCCCCGGTGCACAGCAGGGAAGGGAGCTGGACTGGAAGTGGAGCAACCAGAACTTGAAGTGGCACCCACATGGCATTGTGGTTGATGGCTTTAGCAGCTACGCCACAACACCGACCCCAGTGGTCATTTCTTATCTTCTGGTGCCAATGCCCATCGTATTACACTGAAGTCCTTGGTGAGTAAAGTTGTACCTGGAACTGTCCAAAGTATGAGAGTAGTCAAAGTAAAGCACGGTGTGTCCATCACGTGTCACTGGAGTAAGTCCACTGTTGCCCTGTGGATTCTCAGGAGTAGGTCACTATGATTAGGTAAGTGCTGATTGGGTCTCGTCCAGTGGGTAGGGCTGTCACTGATTGGCTGGCTTTTAGGGGTGTTTGTCATTGATTGGTTCCCGTTCAGAAGTTCTGGGCTGCTATCCCTTTGCTTACTTTCTGAAGTGTATTAACTGCGGGAAGCTCAAATGAGACTATTGCTTATTGGTTGATTTTCAGAGCATATATGTTGATCCAAAGTTATGTAAATGAACAATAATTACCTGTTTGTGATTTAGGACTTTGATCAAAGTACTTTTAACTCCCACCCTCTCCTTTTCAATTCCCCTAGCCCCTTCCTTCAACCGGCCAAACCTGTCGGAAAAACCTTTAGGAATCGTCCAGATCTTTATTTTAGGAGGCATGATTTTTTTTTCCCCAGCCAGTGCTGTTATTTAAGACAAAGTGTCAGTTCCTGGGTGGAAATGTAGCTCTAACTAATGAATTTTTGCAACTTATAAGCTAAATAGAGGACCTTGAGAGTTTCCTGCCCCAACTGAAAACAGGACAAAATGATTTAATACAGGACATGTCCTTTATGTTCAGAATGCTTGGCAACCTTAGTCAGCCTCAGTTACTCTGGGTATCAAGCGAGTCTGCCCTAAAAGGTTCCACATTCGTAGGCTAAGAAGGGGGAGGGCTAACAGAGCAGATAGAAGCCACGGTTTTCCCCCAAGTCGCCAGGCCTCGTCTGGGGCCTCTTAGAGATGATACAACAGGTGTCAGCCCAGGCTTCAGGTGACCCACGGAGTGCAGACGGCGGGCCGGCAGCCGAGGGCCCCGCCTCCGCCCAGACGCCGTGGTCTGGGCAGAGCCTGGCTGCGGCCCTGGTGCCCGCAGCTAGAGCGGAAACAGCCACGCGTCCCGCAGCAACCCCGCCTCCTCCGCGGGCCTGGGCGAGTCACGTGGGGCCAGCGACCACCGAGGTGGGCGGCCTCCGGGCGGCCTAGAGGGGCCCTTGGCGCGCGCGCGCTTCCGGGTTGCATTCCAGTTACCGGCGTCTCGGGGTTGGGGAGAGGGGAGAGGTGAGCGGCGTGGAGTTCGGCGGCGTCTCCGTGAGACGTCCGCCCTCTGCGGACTTTCTCGCTGCTCCTGGCGGCTCGCTAGCCTCCTTCCCTCTTGAACTCAGTCCCAATGGCGACCCTCCCCTCCTTCACCCGGAGCTGGGGGGTGTGGGCCTCGCAGAAGTCGCCCGAAGGGGACGCGCGGCCTTCCAGGGCCGGGACCCAGTTCGGGGCCACAGAAGCGTGAGCCTCTTTTCTCTCCTCCAAGAGCTCGTCGCGACAGCTTCGCGCGCCCGGTACCGACAGTTATGGTGTTTGGGGGTCTCCTGGCCCCCTGGGGTGGAGTGTTTAGATCCCTACTGGGTATCCGGTCAGCGTCTTCTCCCCGGGACACCGGGTGTTTCCCCCTCAGCACGCCCGTGGCCAGCCATCCCACGGAGTTGGTGCCGTGGTCCTTAGAAACATTTCTCACAGACCCCACACCGTAGGGTCAGTCCTCTCCGCGTGAACAGGCCCAGGGATGCCCTTAGGGACTGAGCGGCCCAGGGGAGGGTTAACCCGAGACCAGGGGTAGCCATTCCTAAAGGGAGTGGGGGGTGCTCGGCGTGGGAGCCTCCGGGGGGCCCCCTGAGGGAGCCCCCGTCCAGTGCTGGCGCTGTGAGGCCGCTGGGGGGTGCAGGAACAGAGTGCCCAGTACTCACGGCTCTTCTCGCCTCTAAGGAGCTGGCGCTTGCACATACATCCCAGGGCAGTGCGTGAGGCCAGGGGACGTCAGCCATGCTGCAGCCGGTGTGGCCTCAGGTGAGTGGGGCTTCCTTTCAGCCTTGGTCACTCACGGTCAGGAAAGGACGGAGAAGGCCCCATCTGGCCAGGCTGTGGTTTCCCCTCTGACTGTATGACCAGGCCTATGGCTGGTGGGAGTGAGTGGCGAGAGAGGAGTAAGAGTTTGGTGTGTAGAGAGTGGTGAGCGTGGATGTGCAGATGTAAGCGGAAGGAGAAAGGTGACCCAGGCCAAGGCATTTCTCCCTGAGTGTGGAAGTTGAGGTCACATTCCACGAATCGAAGTCGCCTGCTGAAACCAGAGGAGTCCGTCGTCAGGAGATGGCGGGTGTATCCCGGAGAGACCATGTGGTTCTAACAATAAGCGTGAAGCCTCGGAAGTGAAGTCAGAGCGGGTGGTTCGGTATGAGATGGGAGAAGTAGAGCCCACGTGGTAGGTCATGGCGAAGACTTCGGTTTCTGTTCCAGGTTCAGTGGGAAGGCACTGAAGTATTTTAAGCAGGGGAGGGGAGACAGGGAGAGTGACATGATTGGATTTATATATTAAAAAGGTTTTTCCCCCACCCGTGATGGCAAGCTGTGGGAGAGTGTGGGCCAATTAAGAGGATTTTGAGGGGCTGGCACCGCAGCTCACTAGGCTAATCCTTCTCCTGCGGCGCTGGCACCCCTGGTTCTAGTCCCGGTTGGGGTGCTGGTTCTGTCCCCATTGCTCCTCTTCCAGTCCAGCTCTCTGCTGTGGCCTGGGAAGGTAGTGGAGGATGGCCCAAGTGCTTGGGCCCTGCATCCACATGGGAGACCAGGAGGAAGTGCGTGGCTTCTGGCTTCAGATGGGTGCAGCACGCCGGCTGTAGCAGCCATCTGGGGAGTGAACCAACAGAAGGAAGACCTTTCTCTCTTTGTCTCTCTCTCTCTCTCACTAACTCTGCCTGTCAAAAAAAAAAAAAAAAGATTTTGAGGGGCCGGCACTGTGGCGGAGCGGGTAAAGCTGCCGCCTGCAGCGCTGGCATCCCATATGGGTGCCTGTTCGAGTCCCAGCTGCTGCTCTTCCGATCCAGCTCTCTGCTATGGCCTGGGAAAGCAGTAAGCAGTGGAAGATGGCCCCCAAGTCATGTAATGGACAGTATTGGGGAGATCAAAGAGAAATTGAGTATAGGGAATAAGGGGGAGCCATACGAATGCACTTTGATTGGCAGTTGTCTTCTGTAGTGTTGGGTGTATAGCATGTGAGGCAGTGGGGTTGTGGAGTCTGTGAAGATGGGAGGTGCATCTGTAAAGCCAGGTGCATAGGTGTTTATGCTGTACCAGGGTGAGAGCCCCAGATGCCGGACTGTGAGAGTGGGACAGTGGTTTGGGGGCCCCAGAACCATGCGAATGGAAGTGTTGAAAGCGGGAGCACTGGTGGAGGGTTGGGCCCTAGCTGGGGTGCTGGGTACTCTTCTTGATAAAGCATACCTTCTGTGGGGCTCAGGTCTATCCCTTCTGCAGCTCAGGCTGCCTCCTTCTGCCCCTCGCTCAGAGCTTGAGCAAGAACCTGTTGTTTCAGGAACCAGTGACCTTTGAGGATGTGGCTGTGTACTTCACCCAGGATCAGTGGGCCAGCCTGGGCCCTGGGCAGAGGGCCCTGTACAGGGAGGTGATGCTGGAGAACTATGCAAATGTTACTTCCCTGGGTAAGGTCTCTCTCTAGGGCCCTTTGCGGTAGTTTGACATCTCCCTCAGCTTTTGGGGGATTCTAGTCCCTCTTGGGTTTGATGACCCCATAGGGGTATTCAGTGATCAGAGCTTCCAAAGCTGCTGGTGGGGAAATCCTTGTCTCCCCTGTTTTTGAAATTGGCCATCCTACACCCCAGGGAAGACCCTTCATCCACCCTTCGTGAGGGAGTGCCCTTTCCATAAGTGGAGGCCAGACTGCAGAGTTGCTTCCCAAAGAGAACAGTCTCTTCTTGGCAGTGGTGGAGTTCCTGGAAGTGGTGAACCCTTCCTGAGGACTCTGCAGCCTGTGTGGCCTCCTGGGAGTTCTGTTTCTCTCCCCATGCACCCCATGGCAGGTGGGCTGAGAAAGGTCTCAGGAATAATTCTGGATGTTCTTTCCTCAGCCTGTTTTTCTTTTTTTTTATTCCTGAGGTAGCATTTTCATTTCCCAAACCTGCTCTGATCTCTAAGCTGGAAAGAGGGGAGGCACCCTGCGGCCCAGATCCCTGGGACACAGAGGGTTTGAGAGGCATCGGCTCAGGTGAGTAAAAGAACCTAGTGTTAGGTTTCCCGCTCTGCCTTCCTGGTTTACTGTGGGAGAAGTGTTTGTTCTGCCAAAAGGGAGCAAACTTCCAGTCACTTCCAAGGCTGTGCTCAGTGTGATCTATGACCTCTGAGTTCTGGTCTGAGCCTGGAAGACCAGCCCTTTGGGGGTGTGGCTGCTCAGTCTGCTCGTGCCACCAGTGGCCATCCTCCTGTGTGGAAAGCTATGACCCAGTAGTTCCTGCACCATGACTTTTCTCATCAGTAGGGAGGTTTTTTTTTTTTTTTTTAATTTGAAAGAGTTACACAGAGAGGAGAGGCAGAGAGAGAGAGAGAGAGAAGTCTTCCATCTGCTGGTTCACTCCCCAAGTGGGCTCAATGGCTGGAGCTGCGTTGATCTGAAGCCAGGAGCCAGGAGCTTCTTCTGAGTCTACCACACAGATGCAGGGACCCAAGGACTTGAGCCATCTTCCATTGCTTTTCCAGGCTATAGCTGAGAACTGGATCAGAAGTGGAGTAGCCAGGACTTGAACTGGCGCCCATAAGGGATGCCGGTACTGCATATGGCAGCTTTACCCGCTATGCCACAGCGCCTGGCCAGGGAGTTTTAATTTTATGCCATTTTTTATTTGAATGAAGTAGGGTTTCAACCAGTTTTAAGGATAATGTGATTCTGTAGGACAAACTGATTTATTTATTTTTGCCACAGCTACAGATTGAATTCTTACACATTCGGCAATGAAACATGGCTTTAATTTGTTTTTCTGGTTTCTAAGTCACCTAAAGCTTCCATGTACGTAATCTTGAGATTTACACTGTGTTTTTCCCAGCTGGGACTGTGGAGCACAGCCTCTCTCTCTCTCTTATACACGCACACAGCACTTAGGGTTTCCCTGAGAGGGCCGTCTGTCCCAAAAGGCTATGATTACCTAGGTTTCCTTTTCTTTGGAGGCAGCTCTCCAAGCCTTACTTCTCACACACACTGTTATTACACCCCCACCCCCTTCTGCTTTTTGAAGATTTATTTTTATTTATTTGAAAGAAAGAGTTACAGAGAGAGGTGGAGACAGAAAGAGTGAGATCTTTCATCCTCTGGTTCACTCCCCAAATGGATTCAGTGGCTGAAGCCAGTAACTTCTGGGTTTCCCACAAGAGTGCAAGGGCCTAAGGACTTGGGCCATCCTCCGCTGCTTTCCCAGGCACATTGGCAGGTAGCTGGATCGGAAGTGGGACAGCCAGGACTCAAAAATGGTGTCTATATGGAATGCTAGCGCTGCAGGCCAGGGCTTTAATCTGCTCTGCCATAGTACTGGCACCAGTCCCTTTGCTTTTTAAAGATTCATTTGTTTGTTTGAAAGACAGAATTACAGAGATAGAGAGTGAGAGAGAAAGATCGTTCATCTGTGGGTTTACTCTGCAAATGACCGCAATGGCCAGGGCTGGGCCAAGCTGAAGCCAGGACCCTGGAATTCCATCTGGTTTCCCAGGTGGGTGTCAGGGCCCCGGATACTTGGGCCATCTTCCTCTGCTTTCCCAGGCATGTTAGCAGGGAGCTGGATCAGAAGTGGAGCAGCCAGAACTGAAACCAGTGCTGGTTTCAGATGCTGGTATTGCAGGTGGTGGCTTGACCTGTCATGCTACAGCAGTGGCCCCTGGCGGCCCCTTTATAGTGATACCCTGATGACCTGCAGCTCTCCAGTCTAACTGCCATTCCAGCTGCCTGTCTGGAATAAAGTATGTTTTATTTCAGAGTATGATATAGAATATTTAAAAATGAAGTTAATTGGATGTTATTTAGAACCTGGTCACTGTACATAGTAGGTGAGGCATTGGGACCCATCTGTCTACTGGTTGCATGTCTTAGCCTGTGAGGCCTCTTATAGTCCTAACCTTCCCTCTACTCCACTCTCATCTCTTATTCCTTTTTTGGTTTGCTCTCTTTCTCAACCCCCATCTCTTAAAAATTTTTCCCATTATTAAAAAAAATTATTTATTTGAGAGGTAGAGTTACAGATAAAGAGAGGGAGAGACAGAGAGGTTTTCCATCTGTTGGTTCACTCCCCAGATGGCTGCACTGGCTGGAGCGGAGCTGATCTGAAGCCAGGAGCCAGGAGCTTCTGGTTCTCTCACGTGGGTGCAGGGGCCCAAGCCCTTGGGTGTCTTCCACTGCCTTCCCAGGCCATAAGCAGAGAGCTGGATCGGAAGAGGAGCAGCTGGGACATGAACTGGCACCTGTATGGGATGCTGTTGCTGCACGTGGAGGCTTAACCTACTACGCCACAGTGCCCCCTCCCCCCCATTTTTAGACTCCTCTTGTCTCATACTTACCTTTTTAATTATTTATTTTTGTCTCATTCTTTTTTATTTGTTTATCTGTTTTCTTCGCCTTTCATTTGCCTTGGCACAGTTCCCAGCCTTCCTTATGGGGGTACTTCTCAGCTTCTTTACTGCTCTGTTTCTGGTGTCTTCACTTCTTTAGTTGTATGTCCCTTGTTTTTATTTGTCTCTTTCATTTCTTGCATATATATATAAATATATTTTTTTTAAAGATTTACTTATTTTACTTGAAAGTCAGAATTACACAGAGAGAGAAAGAGAGGCAGAGAGAGAGAGGTCTTCCATCCGCTGGTGTCACTCCCCAATTAGCCCCGATGGCCGGAGCTACACCAATCTGAAGCCAGGAGCCAGGAGCTTCCAGGTCTCCCACATGGGTGCAGGGGCCCAAGGGCTTGGGCCATCTTCTGCTTTCCCAGGCCATAGCAGAGAGCTGGATAGGAAGTGGAGCCTGGGACTTGAACCGGCACCCATATGGGATGCCGGCACTGCAGGCGGCAGCTTTACCCGCTACACCACAGCACTGGCCCTCTTGCATGTATTTTTAAAAGCTATGCCCTCCAAGAGAAAATTAGGACCACTGGATTCTGTTCTCCTTCCAGTCCAATAACTGGGAACACTTGTGGTTTCTTTGGGCAGGTGGTGAGTTCCGGATCAAAAAGGAAGTGCCCTCAAAGCAAGAAAGCCCTGAAGAGTTGGAGTCACACAGAGTGCCTGTAGGAGGATTCCTTGGAAAATCTGAATGTTCTGATTTTAGAAACAAGCCAAGGCAGACTTGCGATCTAAATCCAAATCTGATACTCCGAGGGGGAATGAAGTTCTATGAATGTAAAGAATGTGGGAAAATCTTCAGATACAACTCAAAACTTATCAGGCATCAGATGAGTCACACTGGGGAAAAGCCCTTTAAATGTAAGGAGTGTGGCAAAGCTTTCAAGTCCAGCTATGACTGCATTGTGCATGAGAAAAACCACAGCGGGGAAGGGCCCTATGAATGCAAGGAGTGTGGCAAAGGGTTGAGTTCTAACACAGCCCTGACTCAGCACCAGAGGATCCACACTGGGGAGAAGCCCTACGTGTGTAAGGAGTGTGGCAAGGCTTTCCGCAGGAGTGCGGCACACCTGCAGCATCAGAGGCTGCACACGGGGGAGAAGCTCTATACATGTCAGGAGTGCTGGAAAGCGTTTGGTTGTAGGTCACTCTTTATTGTCCACCAGAGAATTCACACTGGGGAGAAGCCCTACCAGTGTCAGGAGTGTGGCAAAGCCTTCACTCAGAAAATAGCCTCCATTCAGCATCAGAGAGTCCACACCGGCGAGAAGCCTTACGCATGTAAGGTGTGTGGGAAAGCCTTCAAGTGGTACGGAAGCTTTGTTCAGCATCAGAAACTGCACCCCGTGGAGAAGAAGCCCCTCAAGCCTCTTGGGCCGTCCCTGGTCAGTGTCCAGCACCCATCTCCAGCCTTAGCTCCAGTTGCTCTCCAGGGGTCATGCTCTGCTCCAGCACTGACCGTGCCTTCACTGACCTTTCCACATGCTGTGCTCATTCCTACCTCAGGGCCTTTGCTCATGCTGCTGCCCACACCTGGAATACCTGCTTCACCTACCCAGCTAGTACATGTTTTCCAGAGTTTCACTCCCACTGTGAAATCTTGCCCAATTATTCTGTCCTCTTCTCACCCCTCTTGAACTTTATCTTGGCACTCCTATGGTCCTTACCTTCAGGAAATCTTGCCCTTAATTTGAGTTTCTTTTGTATTTTTTCCTTACTTGTGTTATAACTGTTTCAACATAAACTCCACTATAATATATGTACACTTTTTTTTAAAGATTCATTTTATTTATTTGAAAGGCAGAGTTACAGAGAGAGGGGGAGAGACAGAGAGAGGTCTTCCATCCACTGGTTCACTCCCCAAATGGCTATACCAATCCAAAGCCAGGAGCCAGGGGTTTCTTCCAGGTCTCGCATATGGGTACAGAGGCCCAAGGACTTGGGTCATCTTCCATTGCTTTGCTAAGTGCTTTAGCAAGAAGCTGGATTGGAAGTGGAGCAGCTGCGACTTGAACCTGTGCCCATATGGGATGCTGGCACTATGTGACTTACCTGCTATGCCACAATTCCAGGCCCTGTATGTATGCTTAAAGACTGTATTTGTATAATATATTTTTTCTTCTGGGTAGACAATGAAAATACTCACCCTTTGCATTGGTCCCTTTTAGGCTTGAACAGCTGTGACTTTATCTGCATCATGGGGTTGCTGGTGTTAGAAGTGCTGGGACAACATTAAGGTGTGTGAAGGAACTTTGGGGAAGTGAACATCCCTGTATTAGGCCAGTGTGGTTAGAGAGAACCAACCTGGGAAGGACAGGAGACACACAAGCCCTGTGGGAGCAGAGTTGGAATAGGCTTCCCAGGAGGATTTCAGAAATGAATGCAGGCTGTTCAGCGGGCCAGTGGTGGAGTAATACAACTACAGTGGGTGGTCTTTGGCACAGATCATAGAGGATCTTATACTCTAGTCAAAAGGTCATGTGGAACATACTGAAAAGTCTTTGTTGATAGCAGTCATCTACATGATTGATAGTAATCAGGGTGGCTATGTGTGTAAACATGATGGAGTTTTGCCCTTGATATGTAGATTTTTTTGTTGCTTTTGTTTTCTAAATAAATATACACAACAGCATTCAACTTTGTTGCATATATAGTGTCAGTTTTTCTTGGCGGGCATCTTCATATTCTTTTTGCAAGTACTGACTTCCAGATTTTATTTACTTACGGTAGTATGAACTGTAGTGAGGAATCTGGTGAATTACTAAAGAAATAGGAGAAGTGGTATAAATCCAACTTAAGGAAACCCTGAAAAAATCTCTGAAGTTGTTTATAGTTCTAGAAGTTGAGGGGCCTGTGTGGTAGGGTTAATGGCTAGGCTTGCGTGGTGGGTTAATGAAGTAGAATTTTGGATATCTCTTGGTATTGACTTGATGATCCTTTACAGCTATGCAAAGGACTATGTGAAGTAATTACTGGAAAAAGAACTGAGGTACGCATTTATTAGCATTATGTAAAGGTAAGTTCTAAATGTTGATGGAAGGGGCCATATGTGTCTTGTGTGTGTTGCTTTTGCTGTCTAGTTGTTTCTTTGTGATAGTTAATTGAAAAACCTTTACACTGTTGATTTTTAAATGTTACCCTGTCTGACTTAGCTGCTATGCAGTAAAAGTAATCTTCTGGCTTATCTCCCAGGAATTCTGATATGGGGTGTTTGTGCTGATGGCCAGATTGTTAGTGTGCCCCATCCTTTGAGTGATGTATTTTAAATGGAAGATGCGAGTTGGGACTTTGGAGGATACACTGATAAGCGGTTTGGGAGGGACCACTTTATTTCACAGTGGATCTGTAGGAGGGAGACTGCTAAAAGAAGCTTGGTTGACATCAGTTTAGAAGAAGAGAAAAAGCGAGTGGAATATGGCCTGTTGATACACATCAAAAAAGCTCTTGCATTAAAGAGAGCACAAAATAGATAGTAGACCCACACTAAGAGTAGGATGTACCAGAGTCTGTGAGATGTGAAAGAAGTTGGTATTCCGGGCGGTATTTATAGTCTTGTATGCATTTTTTAGAAAACAAGTGTTTGAAAGCTTACTGTTTGGGAAACTGGGGATGGGCATGGTGGGAAACAAAATTATCCAAAACCTAAAAACAAATCTGAAATCCTAAAATAAATGTATTAGCATGCAGTAGGGTTTTTGGTAAAGATGGTGGTTGAATGTCATACCATCCTGAAACCCCATTAGAATAGTTGAAGTGGTTGAGGATTAAAAAGGGTACATTGAGATGACAGCACAAGTAAGTTGATGCTAACATTTGGGAGTTAGAAAGCAGTTGGAAGCGTTCTTACTTGTGGCAGACCTAAGGAAGGTAAATGCTAACGTGCACTGGAGGAAACAGAGCAGCCATTCTACACATGGCACAATCCCCCAAAAGGCATGAGAAACTAGGACTTGAGATGTCTTGGGAAGTAGGGCATGCTGGTAGGGCTGAGCACAGGAAAAGTGGCTGAAAGTCTTAAAAACCACCTATATTCTCAGGTCAGCTTCTCAAAGCTCTTATTTTCTAAAGCAATAAAACAGGAATTGTGGAGCTTCTGTTGCCGCTTCTCCTTCTCCCCGTAGCCTTCTACCCTTACCCCTGCACACTGCCAGCTAGACGTGTGTAGGCTGGAGATCGTAAGGGCTTTCTTGGGGGAGATCTGATCAAGTCAAAGACCAGTGGTACATCTCAGTTTCCCCAGTGAAAGGGCTCTACAGAGAGATTCCAGCTATGCACACAGCTTCTAGTTTGTTTTGGTGTATTAGAGAGAGTGACAGAGAGGGAGAGATAGGAGAGAGAGAGACCAATCTTCATCTGCTGATTCTATCCCCAAGTGTCTGCAGTAGTCGGGACTGGGCCAGGGCAGAGGCAGGAGCCAGGAACTCCATCAGAGTCTCCCACATGGGAGACAGGAGCTCAAGTACATGGCCATCATACACTGCCTCCTAGGTGTGCTAGCAGGAAGCTGAATCAGAAGTAGTAGTGGGACTCTTAGGCTCTCTGATATGGGATGCTATGTCCCAAAAGGTGGCTTTTCCTCTTACATCATGATAACCTTTTCCCTCCAAGAAGGTTTTTAATAATCCATTCTTTAGTATAAACAAATAGGCAAGGATATGAAAGAGGCTGAACTGTGTGTATACACACAAAATAACTTGAAGGAAATAGACTGTTTGAGAAGAAAGTATCTTTTATGATTAGAGAAGATATTTGCATCCATGAAACAATAGCATGTGATAAGAAGAAAAGAGAATAAAGAAGTCTTTAAAAACTGAAAATATCAGAAATGAGATTCTCAGTATTAGCATTGGAAAGCAAAGTCAGTGGGATTACCGGCAAGAACAAAAAAGAAGTGAAAGTAGCCAAAAAAAAGGTTCAGTATATATGATCTGACAGTCATTAAAAGGAGAAATGGAGAAATTGGAGAGAAAATCAAAGGAGTGTGTGCTTTGTGTGTCTCAGTCACCACAAGGCTCCCTGGACTCCAGTGCTAACCCTGTTACATCTGCACATTGCCTTCCTGTCTTCATCAGTTCCCTGTCTGCAGCTCTCTAAACCCTTACATTCTGCTGTGGGCCACAGACAAGCCCTCAGCCGGTAGCTAGAGTTCAACTATCCTCAACATGTCTGCATGCTGCTCTTCTTCCTCCAATCAAAACCTGCCTGTCCCTTGAGGATACTGCTTCTCCAGCACCCTCTGAAGTACAATGGATTTGTGTTTCAATATACTCTATTTTGCTACTTTCGGAAGGACACCTGGGATTTTAATAATGTTAAAAATGTATTTTTTTTCCCCGGTGCCATTTCCTATTTGATATTCAAGCTCAGGGCTTTGCAAGTTGGTTTTGACTCCAGAGATGGTGAATGACCTTGCTCATGGATGAAGTGTTTTGATGGCTACTGTCAACTCTGATGTAAACTTTCTAAGAACAGCAATCTCAGTGTAGCCGAGTTTTCAGTGATACTTCAGTGTGAAGTAGCTACTGGGAGTAGGGATTCTTTTTCTTGCTGTTGTCTTGCAGGCATTCTTAGCAGTTTAGTTGTAATTCCTTCTTCAATGACTAGAAAATTGGTTAATTATGGAAGGATGGTATCTGTCAGATTATAAAAGTGCTGTGTATAGGCAGCAGAACACTGAAGCCGGATCATGCCTTTTACTGAGACAGGAGGTTCTCTTTCCAGCTGCTGAGTGCTGGGGACGGAAGAATTTTGTACTTCTCAGTTTTCCATAAACAAGGTGCTTAATTGTTTTGCAAACAACTTGGAAGAGATGTAGACATCATTTACAGAGTGTCCATTCTAAATCTTTTGATTATGCAAAGCAGCTTTTAAATGAAATTTAGGTTTAAGAAATTATTTTCTGACTATAAAAGAAATACATGCTCACAGCAAAAAACTAGCCTAGAAAGTAGGCAGGCCTGAATTTCACCTTTAATACAGTGTGCCCCACATATCTGCATGTTCCACTTTGATGGATCCAGCCAACATTTTCCTAGTTACCAAGTAACTATTTAGATAGTATTTACAATGTAACAGCTATCACATACCATCTAGAGATGATTTAAAGTACACTGGAGGATGTGTGTAGGTTTTTTTTTTTTTAAAGATTTATTTATTTATGTATTTGAAAGTCAGAGTTACATAGTTGCACAGAGAAAGAAGGAGAGGCAGAGAGAGAGAGAGGTCTTCCATCTGATGGTTCATTCCCCAATTGGCTGCAGCGGCCAGAGCTGCGCCGATCCGAAGCCAGGAGCCAGGAGCTTCTTCCAGGTCTTCCACGCGGGTGCAGGGGCCCAAGGACTTGGGTCATCTTCCACTACTTTCCCAGGCCATAGTAGAGAGCTGGATTGGAAGTGGAGCAGCCGGGTCTCTAACCGGTGCCCATATGGGATGCCGGCACTGCAGGCCAGGGCGTTATCCCACTGCACCACAGTGCTGGCCCCAGTGTGTGTGTGTGTGTGTGTGTGTGTGTGTGTATGTAGGTTATATACAAATATGGCAGCATTTTATAAAAGGAACTTGAGCATCTGAAGATTTTCGTGTCCATCGAGGCCCTTGGCACCAAGTCCCCATGGATACTGAGGGAACTTTAGTGAACACACACATGCACATAGTCACTGCACCTGAGTGCAAATTGTAGTATACACATTCTATTACAGATTTTTAAAAAAGATTTATTTATTTATTTGAAAGGCAGAGTTACAGAGAGGAGAGCCAGATGCAGAGAAAGAAGTCTTGCATCTGCTGGTTCACTCCCTAAATGGCCACGATGGCCAGGGATGGGCTAGACTGAAGCCAGGAGTTTCATCTGGGTTTCTCATGTGGGTGCAGGGGCCCAAGGACTTGGGCTATCTTGTATTGCTTTCCCAGGCACATTAGCAGAGTACTAGATCAGAAGTGGAGCAGCCAGGACACAAACTGGCATCTATAAGGGATGCCGGCGATGTAGGCAGTGACTTATCCTGATGTGCCACGGCGCCGGCCCCCATACATAATGACTTTTTTCACTTAGCAGAATATCATTCACATGTCCTGCTCAACAAGGACTCTATGATATATATATATATATAATATATATATATATTTATATGCCCATCCTTTTTAAATACATAAGATATTTAATAGCTGCATCATAGTACATTGCCTAGAATTGTATTTATGGAATCAGTTTCTTATTCTTGAACGTTTAAGATATTTCCAGTTTGAATCTCTTAAAAACTTTAATGAACACCTTGTACATACATGATTGATACAGTCATGATTTTTAAAGTTTATTTCTACATATTTTTTAAAAATAAAAGAAATAGAATATTTCTGATGAAGTGAGGGTCTCTGATCATTGATTTCTGTCTCCATTATTTTTTCAGAATTTGTTCATAAATAATACATAGTATTGCTTTGTACATTAAAAAGGTTTACATAGATGCTGTTGTCCCAGGGGCTTAGGAGACAATTTTGCCATGTTCAAATATGTGCAGTGATCTGGTTTTAGTCTCTGTGTATCATTTATAAACTTTTTTTTTCCCTACTAATTTATGCTTGAGGTATAAGAAAATGTGTGGTTTAGTAAAATGAGGAAGTAGACCAAACAAAGATTCAATGTCCAAGAAGTGGAAGATCTATTATTTACAGAATAGTGGAGGGAAAAGAAGACCATTTTATACTTGTTTAAACTGGAATGGGATGTTAAAAAACTGGGAGACTTTCAAGGAAAAAGTAGAGAACTTCAAATTCCAGCCCATTATTATGTAATATCAGAACATTGAGGACAAAGAAAAGATATTCTTAGAGCTCCTGGGGATGGGCAGGCATGGGGAGCAGGTCACACATCCAGAAACTGGGATCAGAATGGCATCAGTCTTCTCTAGCAATTCAAGTTGCTGAAAGATAATGGAGCAGTGCCTTCAAAATTCTGAATAAATGATTTTCAACCTAGGACTCCATCCTAGTCAAACTATTCATCAGTAGTAAATTAAT